TTCTTAAGAAACAAAAACCAAACGTCACCCAATCGGATTGTTTTAAACAACCTAAAGGAGAAATTAAGATGACAGCTGGGTGCATCCAGAGTTAGTCAGATCCTGAAGGCAGCTCCTTTGGGGAACGGAGGAGCAATTTGTCAGATGACTACATTACAGCACGCCCCTTATACGCATTGCTACAAAAGGAAGGCACAAGGTTTTAACTGAAAATAACATAATACTCATAAGGCACCTGCATAGGGATCTTCAACGGGCCCAACCGAACCTCTCCAGAGCCTGCCCGAGGGCTCCGTTTCCCCGGGAGACCACCGGGACAGGGACGCGGAAGCCGCAGCCGAGGCCTACGGCAGGGCTAAAGGCCGAGGGAAGGGCAGGGGCGGGAGAGCTGCGGCCCCGTAACCGGGGCGGGGGGAGGAAGACGGGACCTTGGGCCTACCTCGGGCGGCGGGGGAGCAGCTCCCCCTCTCTAGAGTCCCGGGGAGAACGCCTCACCCCCACCGCCATACCCGGAGGGCCCCCACAGCCCCAGGGGCCCCAGCGGCCTCCCCCCCGCCGCCCCAACGGCTACGGACACCCCGGTGGGGAGGACTCGGGGACGCGGCCTGGGCCGCCCGCACCGCCGGGCGCGGGGGACGCGGCCTGCTTCCCCTCAGGGGAGCGAAGGGGACCCGGGCCCGGCGACAGGCCATTCCCCCGCGCCTGCGGTCTACGAACGGCTCTAGTTACCGGCGAGCAGGGACTTTACCGAACCCCAGGGGACCGCCGCTGCCGCTACCGCGTCGTCTCGATCCGCCGGGGCCGCCGCTCAGGCCGTTACCGTCTCCGCTGCCAGCGTCAAAGATGGCGCCTAACATACGGGCAACCTCAGCTCGCCCGTTGCTAAGGTGGCGGCCGGAACGGCTTCACCAGGAGCCACTTCCGCCCGTTGGGGAGCGACGGGGGCGGGGCTCCGCGCGGGCGGCACCACCCACCGGGGGGGGTGCGACGGAAGTGGGGCGGGGGGCGACTGTAAACGGAGCGGGCGGCTTTTCTGCCTTTTCCTCCTTTTCCTCCTTTTCCTCCTCTGAGGGGTCCCGCCAGCGCCTGTGACCCCAGACAAAGCCCTCCATTGTGGGGCGAACAGCAGAGTGTCCCCCCGTCCCCTCTGCGGTGCCCAGTGCCCACCTCCCTGTGAGGTTGTGCACCCCTGCCCGCCATGGCAACAGGCCTCAGTCCCTGAGGCGTTTATCCCCTCCCTCACCCTGCTGGGCGCTGCCTCAGGGGTTACACTTTCCAAGCTAGGCGTTATTTTACCTTTTTAATCCCGTTTCCCCGGCCTGCAGGCACTTGTCCTTAGGACACCACAGGCTGGGCCTGGGCCTCAGGGAGGGGAGGCCTGGGCCTGGCTGGCAGCCATTTCTCTGTCAGGGCAGCATGGGCCTGCCCAGACTTCATGGTAGATCACGGACCTAAATCTGCCTCCCTCCGCTTTTCTCCTCTCTGTCCCAGTGTGCTGGTGTCTGGCTTTCCCCAGTTTGGCCCTGCGGCAGTGGTGAGCCGCCACCGGGCAGCAGGAGCATTGTCTTGTCCTCAGGGGAGGCTGGGGCACAGGCACAGTGGGTACAGCCATTTTCCCCATTAAATGACTAAAAGCCCTGTGATTTGTTTCTTTCTCTGCATCCAGCCTGGGCTGTATTAAAAAAAAAAAAAAAAAAAAAAAAAAAAA